GATGCTTCTTGTTGGCCGTGAAGTGAGTGACTGAATGATTCTGACAACGCGCCAGCCAGAACGAGAGCTGAGCTGTTATTTTAGTTTGTGAAAACAGTTTACTATATAACGTGATTTTAACTCAACATGGAAGGGGCCACAATGCGACACTAGTTCAGCAACAAATTGCAGACGACGTCTTTGTTTTTCTTATGTTGACTCGGACTTTCGAGTAATGTTAACGATAGGATTTTACCTTTCCCTTTATCAAAAACTTTATCATAAGTTTGGTAATTATTCCAGAGACAGCAAACTTGTGTGACTGGCCGCTTATTGTCACAGACAAATATTACCACCGCACAGGGGCTGAACGGAATATCGGCATCATGTGCCGTGTCGATAAGCGTAGACATCATGTGTCGCTATCCTACATGATCACCAGAATCACGAATTCGGTCAGTGTTCTTGTCTTGCGCTATACATACAGCAAAGCTATCAAGATATTTATTTCTTTGTCTTTCCTCTGTTCATCTATCCAATCGTTACTGGGTTCTCGACTCCTTCTGATAACAGGTACGAAAAACGCCGACTGCCTGCGTCTAAATTTTTTAATCAACAACAAAAAGTCTCCGCTGCGAGTAAATATTCGCATATATGTGAACATATGGCAAAGCGCGATCAATTTTTTACGCATAAGCGTCAGCAGGTAATGACGACTATCGGGATGGTGTCACGAGTTATTTTCTTCATTGTCGCTTCGCTGTTAACAGTATGCTTGCACAGCTAGCATCGTAGAGTTGAGTTCCCAAAGGGCGTTGGCCACATCTACCTTGGCATGTATCAATTCACCACCCAGTGGTACAGATCCAGGGAATCTACCTGGCTGTTAATTCCACACCACGCCGGCATAGCCTGGAGAAAAGTTCCAAAGTATACTTACTACCCGTGACCTTCCCATGAAGCTTGCCACTCTGCTCGAAGCATTACTGGCTCCACCTTTCTCAGCATTCTTTCGGAGTCTGTTACAATTATGTGTATGTGTATGCATCTTGTTCTCTAGCCACAATAAAGCTGCAGTTACCGCCTCCACCTCCATCACGCTACAGTTTCTGCATTAGTGGTTTAAGCATTCAGCGGGCGTTTGTTTCGCGATGTTCCAGACAAAAAACAAACGGGCTTATTTGTAATCAGTAATAACAGATAGTAAAGTAATCTGTTTTTCTTTATCAGTGGAACATTTAAGCGGCGATTAAAGCCGTTACATCCACGCCTCACAACTGGTGCATTTAACACAAGTTCTATATAGCACTTTTAACGCTTTTTTTTAACTTCACGCAACTGACATCGTCTTACTGTTGAGTATCATCTTACTAAAGCCCACTTTAAGGGTCTTGCTGGAACTATGTCGGCCACGTCCTTAGAATGGATAAATCAAGACTTCCTTACCAAGCCCTAATTTGGACACCACAGGGGAAAAGATCTCGTGGAAGACCAAGGGAAACCCTACGTAGAACTATCATCAGGGAAGGCTCGCTCATGGGCCACTCAAACATCCAAGACCTACAACGGATTGCAACGGACCGCCGTGCATGGAGAGTCACGACCTCTGCCCTATGTGCCGCACTCGACACAAGACGAAAGACTAACTAACTAATGAGACCGATATCTTCATATCAGTGACAGTAAGTAATCTTGTATAAAGTGGCGTAGGGAAGAGGGTACCTGGTCCTTCTCGAGTAAACCAGTCGCTTAATGGTTCGCCACTGGGTGAATCAGAATCGGTCGCCGGTCGGGTGGTTTATCTACTAAGGGCTTCTTGGTGGATATCCCTTTTCATGTCTACCTAATGGCGAACAGTTTAGCCATAAATATGACACAAAAACCCGAGTCTGTGTGATAAGTAGCCTGGCTACCAGTAGTATACTGAATGTGGTCGACTTTATGTTTTCCCTCCAAGATGGAACTGGAAATCGAAAGGAGCGCTGTGAGGCGCGACCCCTGATGTCACTCAGCACTTGGGGGCGTGAAAAAATAGCAAAACCACGTATTTTTAAAATACAAATTACCGGTTATCCTGTCGGGTTAACCTCCTGTCGTAACCTGGATTTTAATTCGTTTTATCAATCTAAACTTCCCCAGTATAGCAGTATAGACGCTCACCTGTTGGTCCGAAGGTTTTTGGATCGAACCCACATCGAGGCATATTTTTTTTCAAAAGTGACCTTGACTCCAAGGTCACTTCTGTGTAAAACAAAAAGAGTGCCAGGTAAATGCAGCCAATGCTATGTTGGCCTTGTCACACACCAAGTGCCGATTGGTCTAAAAACAAAACAGCCACAAAACGAGTACCATGTATCCATCAAATTTCCCTGCAGTTTAATTTAAAAAAAAAAAAAAAGCGTCTACCACCCATTTTTTTTTTTCTTATTTCAGCGAAAAGGCGAAAGGGAATAAAATCAGACTGCTATTCATAACTTTTTTCCTGAGAAATAGAAAAGGTGCAAGCACTTACCACAAAGTTTCTATGACAGAACCGCTGGAAAATTACACATAAGAAGTGCAGGTACTGCGTACCGTCAGAAATACAGCCTTGCTCCTACTGGTACCATCGGAATTGAAAATTGTGCTGGTTGCTGAAGATGGCGACTGTGCGGTTATAGGAATGCCCCGAAAGCTATGATTTCGATTTTTAACTGAAGTCGCATAAATAGAAGACTAGAAACAGAATCTTATATCTCCCTCGACACCCACAGCGGTAAAAGAGGAAGTGAAGAAGAAGAAGAAAAAGAACTGAACTCGGCTCTGCTCTCCCTTTTTTCGACAGCCAGTTACCAGTCCATAGCACAGTCAAGTTTTGATGGAGCGTATGCGACTTTGTTGGTTTTACCTTTAGAGATCTGTTCAGCGTTGAGGAAGCGCATGGTGGGTGGGGGGGGGGGGGGCATTCATCAGATCTAACCTCATGTGAGTATTCGTGACAAGGCGCTCTAGAGGCCGATCCATCGGCCTTACTATGACTGCTGGGTGGCTTTTTGGTGTCCCTTATCTGATGTATTGGGAGCCACATGCGGATCGGAAGGTCGTGGGTTCGCAACCTGACGGAGTCGGACTTTTTTCAAAAATGACCTTGATTCCTAGGTCGAACCAGCCTTGAGTGGGTACCAGGTGCAATCCTAGACGACTGTTTTTTTAAAGAAAAAGCAGTTGAAACTGAAAAAGTCAGATTATCCTGTTTTATATGACAAAGGATAAAGGTATGTTGGCTATTACCTGGCATGACACTAAGAGAGTTCACCTGATATCTGCTGTTCACTTCAATGGTGTTATAGACAAGACAGTTAGGAAAAGTGGAATTCCTGAGGGCAGAATAAAAAACAAGCCAGTTCTTGCTGAAAAATGAAACAACAATATGAGAGTGTCGGTTACTTCAACCAGCTGGGTGAAAACTACCCCTACCCACATAGATCATATAAATGGGACCTGCCATTATATTATTTATTTTTCATTGACACTGCTCTGGTCAATGAGCAAAGAACACTACCAACTCTATGACTAAGATCACAGCAAAGAAGTTCAGGCAGGATGTCAGTCCAGCTCTTATTGGACCTGCTGTTCTTCGGTACAATGTAACACTTTCAAGACCACACATTACAACCTACTGAGCGCAATTTTTTTTAAATATGAAAGCCAAGGTACAAACCAGACTGTAAAGTTTGTAAGGCTGCAGGTAAAAGAAGACTAGACTTGCATGTACTGCCCAGATTGCAGAACACTTCAATGCTTGTCATCCCGTTTCTAGATATACCACACAGTTGTATAGGATTATCAACATTCCCAACAACTAGAGGTGCTTTTATAATCAAGCATTCACAAACGCTCATTGTAACATGACAAATAAACACATAATAAACCAACAAGATTTTTTTCCATTTTATTCACATTTTTATTTGCTTTTAAACAAAAATAACAAACTGTCTACAAGCAAAGAGTGTGCTGCACCAATGTTCTGGAACAGAACAATTAACAAGTCACTGTGTGCATCACACAACAGTTACACTCTACAGTGAAGTATACATGTCAATCATGGACACTCCCCAGAAAAATGTGGTTTTTCCGTCACGGACAGGCCAGGATTTACTTTCTTTCGCAGACAGGCCAGGCCAGGACTTGGCTATTTCAGAAAAAGACTGGTGCCTTGGGCATATGATGCTAAACTCACATTTTATATATCAATTAACTCAACCGATTGAAACTTGATGGGTGATATGATCAACAACATCACAAAGTCCACCTTTACTTCCCATGACATCCTGGTACCCACTTAAGCAAGGTTGACTTAGTAACCAAAGTCAATTTTTTATTTGTTTAATCTGTCCCAATGTAGACTTGAACCTAAGACCTTTGGCCCGGCAGGCAAACAGTTAGCCTCAGCTCTACAATGACAGCCCATATACAATACACAAACTTGTAATATGTATCAGGCTGGTAAAAGTGCTCAAACTCACAGACACAACTAAAGAACACTGACATTAACAAACAAGAAATGAATCTATATGCAGATAAAAGTAAAGAATTATTGCCATTAGGAACACAGTGCTAGACCTATGTTTTATAGACCAATCAGCACTTACGTGATGTCAACATCACGCTGGCTGCTTTTATTTCCCAGGACTTGACTTGCTGCCTATTTTAGACCATGTCGACCTGGGAGCCAAGGTAACTTCTGAAAAAATCCAGCTCATTGCAGATTGGAACCCACAACCTTTGGGCCCAAGACGAGCATCAAACGGCTACACCACCATGACCGTTCCTGTATGCAGATACTTAGCCTTACATTCTGCATGTGGCACAAGAGCAACAGCTCGCTGATATCCCATATGCCACTGATTTCTGTGGACAAGAGCAACTGCTTGCTGATATCCCATGTGCCACTGATTTCTGTGGACAATAGCAACTGCCTGCTGATACCCCATGTGTCACTGATTTCTGTGGACAAGAGCAACTGCCCGCTGATACCCCATATGCCACTGATTTCTGTGGACAAGAGCAACTGCTCGCTGATATCGCATGTGCCACTGATTTCTGTGGACAAGAGCAACAGCCCGCTGATACCCCATATGCCACTGATTTCTGTGGACAAGAGCAACTGCCTGCTGATATCGCATGTGCCACTGATTTCTGTGGACAAGAGCAACTGCTTGCTGATATCACACGTGCCACTGATTTCTGTGGACAAGAGCAACTGCCCGCTGATACCCTACGTGCCACTGATTTCTGTGGACAAGAGCAACTGCCTGCTGATATCGCATGTGCCACTGATTTCTGTGGACAAGAGCAACTGCTTGCTGATACCCCATGTGCCACTGATTTCTGTGGACAAGAGCAACTGCCTGCTGATATCGCATGTGCCACTGATTTCTGTGGACAAGAGCAACTGCTTGCTGATATCACACGTGCCACTGATTTCTGTGGACAAGAGCAACTGCCCGCTGATACCCCATGTATCACTGATTTCTGTGAACAAGAGCAACTGCCCGCTGATACCCCATGTGCCACTGATTTCTGTGGTGGTGAAACTGGATCGCTAGCCTGTTCTGCTGCTTCAAATAAAAATGTATAAAAAGCCAAATGTTGAAACCCCAAGTTCTGCCGTCTCATCAAAACTACCAAGGCATCTCCATCAAACAAACCTTGATAAGAGACCACAAGTGCGGACTGTATTGCATCCATAATTTTGCAACGATTACGCAAGACAGAACCAAAGGAAGGGACAGACTGTGAATCCTATGTGATGAAAACATGCCGTATGATAATGATGTATATAATAATAAATTATATTAGCAATGCTGAAATCTTCAGATCATAATCAAATTTAAAATGACATTACAAATATCTTAGAAGTGAGGATTATGTCTAACGAATTATTAGACATGAAATTAGAACAATACCTGCAATAATAAACTATAAGACATGAAAAAAATAACAATCTTATTTAAAACACACAAAATGCAGAAAGAGGAGCGGGACTTTAAAAGAAGTCCCAGAGACTAGAAGACCTACACAAATGTGCCCAAGCTGATGCATTATAAATACAGCAGTAGGGAATACATAAATGAACTGTGACGGGACTGGAACACTTCACTGTTAGATGATAAATATATGTGATCATATGTGCCTGTTTAGAATTAGGCTTACAGCCATTGTCTAATCTGTAAGTTAGGCATAATATCTGTCAAACAAAATACATACAACAGAATTAATTAAAAGTTCAGTTTTGATGAAAAAGTGAAACAACATGTTGGTAGCTGAAAGAAAACTGAACAAAATCATCCACAAAGATTGTAAATGGAAAAAACAGCATTAACAAAAGGTAATATATTGCCAGCCTGTAATTATATTACCAAAAAAAAAAATGTAGATATAGTAACTGTTGGCGCACAATCAAACAAGAGTACACAATGTCTGCCTGCTGGCTTTCAAATATAAAAAAAAATCTTTCAATTTTAGAAGGCACTTAGGATTTTTTTTTTAAATCTCAGAGAAAACAAAATAAAATAGAAACTACAGAAGATACAATACAATTTTTTAAAAATGTGTAGCCGTAAAGGGCAGTCACAAAAAAGTGGCAGTGATAGATACACTCGTGTACTGGGAGTGTGCGTCTGTGGAATAATATCACTCATATGAACACAATCTGAGCAGCACTTGTATACAGATCAAACCAGATCTCACCTTCTCTGACAGAAGAGTTTACCAAGTTGTCAGTAAAATGCACTTACAATAATAATAGGCCAAAACAATTGTCGATGAGGGACCCACCTGCTGATAAACTATACATTCATGTTATGCATGCTCTCATGTAGTGGAGTTCTTCTTATTATTTAACCCTATGGTGTGGATATCTCACATCTTGTTTGAATGTATGTGTAAGTATATGTGTATGTGTATGTATGAGTCAGTTTTATGTGTTTGTACATTTGTGTATGTATGAGTTGAGTGTGTAGATGTATTTGTATGTATGAGTGCCATTATGGACACCCAAATAGGTCCCAGTTACTCATGTTTCTTTGCAGGTTAGCTCGAACCACTAGATGTGGCAAGCATATGAAGGCACATTTCAGAAGGTGCACAGACAGTAGTGTGGACATCAATGAAATATTCAAAGATGAATTTAAACAACTCATTCACTTCTTCAGTCGCTGTAATCTGGCTATAAAAGTCACTTCCAAGACCTCTACAAGTGTAAACTGTGAGGTTCAGAGCAATGTTTCCATATTGTCAATTTAAATAGAAGAAAACACAAACAATAGACTACAAATGTTAATGTCTGATATATTTTGCCTCTCCTATCAGATACATTCACTAATCAAATAAGACAAGACAAGAGAACAAAATCAAAAAGACATGATATGGAAGCTGCATTTGCCCTGGTAAAACAAGCAGTTACTTTGGAGCATGTTTGACTATTCTGTATTTCAGTCAAAAGGATTCATGTATTTGCTTCATTCTTTTCAATGTACTGTCTGTCTGCCCTTTAATTCTGTACCTTTATAGTATGTTGGGTAAGTTTTCCTTCTAGATAACAGTGAATTCCCTTGTCACTGAGAATCAGTTTAGGGTCTGAAGAGTTGTGGTTCTGGTATCCAACAACAGAACCACAGGTGTAGGCATGTCGAAGCCTGACTACTGACAAAACCTACAGGTAACATATGAATGGACAAAATATGTACAGATCACACAAATAACAGGATGGCAGCAGTCAACACATAACACTGTATAACATTCATGAGAACAGTAAAGTAAAGGACTCTTTCCCATGCCAATGGGCCACTGGGTTAGAACTACATGTCACAGAGCAATCAGCACTTGGTGGGCTGAGCAGTCAACATTACGCTGGCCGCCTTTACTTTACTGAACTTTACCTGGAACCCATTTTGGGCTGGGTCAGCCTCAGAGCCACGGTCATTATTTTTTTTTAAACATCTGGATTGACGCTGATTTGAACCCACCACCTCCAGACTTAAGGCGAATGTTTAACCACTACACCATGGTGGCTCCCTCTAGTGATAATAGTCTGCATCCTATATTTGCTATATACAAACCTCAATGACATAATCTGTTTACCTACTGCCTACCTCCCACACGGGGAACTTTTAGTGCCAGTTTGCTATTAAAAGAAGCCAGGAGCTGAAATTGTTTATCTTTAGCTAAATGTCTAAAGTTTGTGTAGCTTTTTTATTGGTAGAATCTATCTACCTAGATCTTGGTCTTCCTTTAGGACTGTATCTAGGGATGCTTTGACTGAATGACAGAAGTGGTTAACTTTGTGCTGCTTTTATCGTGAGACCAACACACAGAAACATGGACACTGAAATTATAGACAACCTAAAACAGAGAAGGTGGCTAGAGCTAAGAGACAAATGCAAATAGCCAAGAATACACATCCAAACACAACATAAAATTACAAGCAAACAGTCTTTTAAAGGCTAAGCTGAAGAGCAATATATGATATCAGTTTCAACACAGCTGCTACACAACTATGTTTTTGAGGTCTTATCTGACTGGCATACATCAATGTACCATGCCCTGGACAGTAGATATTATAGGACTAATAATAAACTGGGCATTCATAAAGTGAAGATTAATACATCTACCAACCTTAAACTGGACATTCACACCAACCCACATTAACAATTATAAACTAGATATTCATATCTACATATCCACTCAGTTTAACACATCTGCCACTAACAAAGTGGACACTTAACTACTCATTAGAAATCCCCCCCCCCCCTTTCCATTCACAGACATTCATTTCATATCCATTCAGATAACATTTGTCAATCATAACATGGATATATGCTCAGATTAACGCTCACATATCTTCAAAAACAGGTTGAGAAAGAAAACTTTCCGATAACCCATTTAGCAGACAATATTCTGAAAGAAATGATCAGCAGTTCCCCAACAAACCATGAAAAGAGTATAATCAAAAAATCAATGCAGACAAAATACTTGTCAATGGATGCTCACAGTTCACTGACTAGACGACACAAAACAGATCAGGTTGTCAGAGAACAAGCAATATAAGGTAACAAGTGAGTCACAGAGATATGTGAGTGATATGGCCATCTTGACTGTCTGGTGTCACCTCTCACTTGGTGTTTGATAACTACGCCTGACAAGCATAGCATGATTTCATTACAGGTTTCCCATATCATTATATTTTAAAACTGTAAGGAATGGAACCCTTTTCTGTGCCTTTTGACATACTAGGCATATAGGGCTAGACCTAGATTTTATAGCCCAATCAGCGTATGTTGTTTCTAGAACTGTACCGCTGTACTTTATGCCTTACATACTGACCATGTAGTTGCATATATGTACTAGCTATTTTACACAGTCAATTTTAGAGGATGGTAAAACTATATCAGATGTCTCATATATAATCTGTGTGGTAGATTTCCCAAATACTATCTATTCTTATACAACTGAGATGTCTCATATAAAATCAGTATTCTAGTGCAACTATATCCCAGGATTCTGTAAATATTCCAGTATAATTGTACCAGGTATCTCATTAACTGTCAGTATCAAAGTACATCTGTACTGGACATCTCCCATAATGTCAGTATTCAAGTACATCCGTACCAGACATCTCCTATCATGTTAGTATCCAAGTACATGTCTACCTGACATCTCCCATAATGTCAGTATCCAAGTACGCCTGTACCGGACATCTCCCATAATGTCAGTATCCAAGTACATCTGTACCGGACATCTCCCATAATGTCAGTATCACAGTACATCTGTACCGGACATCTCCCATAATGTCAGTATCCAAGTACACCTGTACCGGACATCTCCCATAATGTCAGTATCCAAGTACATCTGTACCGGACATCTCCAATAATGTCAGTATACCCGCATGCACACACACTGCCATTATGCTAACACAACTATACTGTTTATCAAATTTGAAAATAGTTTTAAAGTATTCTCTCACCCTGACAGGTTAAGAACCACTGCAATAGTTGACTACATGGTGTACAGATATGCACATTCACTGTTTTGTAATTAGTTAAATGACTAGAAAGTTACAATATAAAAAGAAACATGAGTACCTGTACAATGTATAAATGGAGCAAGGCATTCATTAACAAAAAATAAAAATATAAGAAAGAAAAAAAAGAATGCAACAAGAAAACAGATCTTTATAGTAACATCCACAATTTTCATAAGGTAACCAACAAATATCTGAAAGCTGTCAGGGCTGTTGTAGAGACTGCAGATCTTACATCACTGCATGATGACTAGTGTATCTTTACATGGTTACCGGTCATTTATACTTTTACTTTGTAACTGGTCATTTAAACTTTTACTTGGTTACCGTTCATTTATACTTTTACTTGGTTACCGGTCATTTATACTTTCACTTAATTACCAGTCATTTACACTTTTACCTGGTTACCGGTCATTTATACTTTTACTTGGTTACCGGTCATTTATACTTTCACTTGGTTACCGGTCATTTTTACTTTTACTTTGTTACCAGTCATTTATACTTTTACTTTGTTACCGGTCATTTATACTTTTACTTGGTTACTGGTTGTTTAAACTTTCACTTGGTTACCGGTCAATTATACTTTTACCTGGCTGAAAGCCAAAATAAGGAATTTAAATGTTTTTGAAGATGCTCTGGCATGAAGAAAACATCACAAATGTCAAAAAAGGCAATCATCATTTGGGTAACTTAAGGAGAAAAGTCAAAGTTAAACATGTAACATGGAAAAAATGTGTGTGTGTGTGTGTGTGTGTATATATATATTTAGAGAGAAGATAGAGATACAGAAAATAATAGTGTCTTTCAATATTGTTTCTGTGATGGTCTGTTGTCACGGCACAGAAAGAAGTCCGCAGATTAAGTAATACATGCTGAGGCAGACTGCAAGATGAGGAGAGGTACGATCACAGTCACCAGTCGGCAAGGCACTTGATGATGATCTCAACAGTGTTCACTGTATACAAACCACTGCATACTATCATAAGGTGGAATATTGCTGCTTTATGAGAAGTCGTACCTTAAAATACAAATCATACTAACGTAACATAAATCTACGATAGTAAAGTGACCCATATGGCTGAGGTTGGACCAGTGGGTCCCCTTGACTTAGCGTCTGCCTCACTCTTTCAAACTGTATGTGTGTTTCACTGACTGTGATGTTCGGTTCACGAGTGCATTTTATTTTTTGTTATTTTTAAGAGATCTCTAGGGATCATCGACGGAGTTAGCACTTTGTGTGATGTTCTCAGAAGATGGCTAGCCATTTTGCAGAGAGAAACTGAGGTATATGGGATAAAAGCTGGTGTCATGAAGTGGATTCTCTCAATCTGAAACCTTGTTTAACCAGAAAAGAAAAAAACATTACACAGAACCAGGACTGCATGTCTATCACATCAAAACTTCAATGGCCGTATTATTATTACTATGTGAACATGAGCTTATACATGTCATAATATTATATTTGAGATATCTACACACAAAACACTCTCATGCAAGATGATGATATAATATATAAATGCAGTTACTTGCACATAATAATGGATTCTACCCGATATGTTTTATTCGGAAACCTTATAAATGTGGATATAATACTGACAGCAAGAGCAGAATGTCCAATATGCATAGAATAAATTACATGAATATAACCATTAACAAATAACAAAATGTGCTGAGGAGAAGTCACAGTACGTTTCAACATCCCTTCCTGAAGATCAGCTAACTGTGGTTGGCAGACTTGCTTTGCTTTGACTGAAGTAGTGTACATTGGAGGTTCTTAAATGCTGTTTCATAATTACACTTTGAGAATGAAGAAAGCAAAAGCCTGAAATGATTAGAATAATATCTAATTATAAGAAATCACAACACATCAAGATGACAGATTCCAATATGTTTTATTTTCCCTAACGATGCGCTGTTTACCACCAAGAGGCCCATCATTCCCAGACATAGATCTCAGTATTTTAGCAAGACACTAATCAGTCTGTGTCTAACTTAAACAGTGTTTCTCTACCACTAGTGGTCATTCAAGTTAAATGCAAACAGTGTCACAGTCCATTACATAATATTGCCTCTGAAAAGCTGGTTTAAAGAAAGAAAAAAATATTTCTCTTACTCAGCACATAACTGAGAATACAAAAGTAATGCAGATGAACAATATAATATAAATGTACAAATGTGGTCTTAATGTTTGTATTAGTACTGTTATGACCAACATACATAAGCAGTGCATATATTAGCACCTAGGCATGAGATGATTACATGCAATGAAACAAGACTGTCATCGAAGGTAACATGATTTGTTCCAGATGAAAGCTGCTTGCACAAACTATTAGCAACCTGTGAGCATATACTGCACCACATGAATTAACAGTCTAGAAGGAGCTTCCCCAGGAACAAAGAAGACTAAAGTGATTTTCCCTAGGAAACAGGACAAAAGTGATCTTTCCCAAGAACTCAGACTAGGGTAATTTTCTTCGGGAACAAACAAAGTGATCTTGTTCTGAAACTAACAGCAAAGTGATCTTGACCTTAAAATAAAACTAGAGTTATCTTTCCACAGTACAAATATCAGGGTTCTCTTCCCCTGGAACTAGTATGCACAGAACTCATTAGACATAGCAAACAGTATTACTTGTTATCTTCTAATACTGGTTATTTTCTAAACTACCCAGTTGTTGCCCAAAACACCATGCCTGTCCATCAATTCTAACACAAGCTGTCTCTCTTCATAAGAACTGAATATACACATTATTACCTGTCAGAACAATGATTACACTAGGCACCACACATACACTGTTGTGTACAGAAGCCTCACTGTCAACTATTGTTATGCCAAACTTAGCACGGCTATTCTTTGTGTGTTTTCACATCACAGACTACATCACAAGATTCTGCTTGCCACCAACATAATAATAAATCTAGCATATTAAAAAATAAAAAATAAAAACAATAAGGCACTTTTCTGAGCACAGTTCTCAAATACTTCCCCTGAGAACAGTTAGCTACTTCCACAAATATTTCCCTACCATACACCTCCCTCCCTCCCAAACTGTGACAATACTGTCACCTACATGAGTGAAGATGTATCCAGCAAGACCAAATCAATAGTGCCAGGACAGATTAGACGGAATGCCACAAGCCTGAATTCATGAGAGGATACACCCCTCATACTTAGGCAACTGTATCAGCAGCACCATGGTTTTTCTGCTCCAGTGTCAATAGGCGAGCCTCCAGGCTTCCAATACGCCTGTCTTGCTTGCGCACCTTGTTCTTGAGCTCCGTGATTTCTTCTTGTAGTTCTTTCAGGTCAGCCTCCTCCTGTTTGCTTATCTGTTGAAGGTTTTGGGGAGGGGAGGAAATAGGAAATGTACAAATTATGAGACATGGTATAAATAGCAGTGTACCTGCATTATTTTCATCTGCAGTATTATCTGACCTAACTATGCTAAAAGGGTATGCTACTTTTCAAACCTCATACAACGTAGGCTAACTGATTTATAAAAGGTATTCCTATCTACTATTTAGAGACCCTGGTGATAAAGGGACTGCCGGCCGTAAGACTTGTTTCAAATTCCCACTACATGAAGATTTTTTTTTTTTTTAAATTGGCCCCCAGGTCGACCTAGCCTAAAATGGGTACCTGAAAATGTCATCGAAGGTGGCCAGTGTGACACTGAACACATCATCCACTGACAGCCAACTGATTTATTATAAACAGGAGTCTGTCATCATATGACAGATACGAAAGTGGCATGATAAAGGGTCAGCACATTTTCAAACCTCATACAATGTACATGGTTAGGCAGCTTATTAAGCGTTTGCATTTAATATTTATCATATATGTTTGAAAATGTTTAACAATAGTCATCTACACTGCTCTAAGATTACAATAAACAAACATCTAGACTGATATAAGATAACAATAAACATCTAAACTGCTATAAGATAACAATAAACATCTAGACTGAAATAAGATAACAATAAACATCTAGACTGCTATAAGATAACAATAAACATCTAGACTGCTATAAGATAACAATAAACATCTAGACTGCTATAAGATAACAATAAACATCTACACTGCTCTAAGATTACAATAAACAAACATCTACACTGATATAAGATAACAATAAACATCTAGACTGCTATAAGATAACAATAAACATCTAGACTGAAATAAGATAACAATAAACATCTAGACTGCTATAAGATAACAATAAACATCTAGACTGCTATAAGATAACAATAAACATCTAGACTGCTATAAGATAACAATAAACATCTAGACTGCTATAAGATAACAATAAACATCTAGACTGCTATAAGATAACAATAAACATCTAGACTGCTATAAGATAACAATAAACATCTAGACTGCTATAAGATAACAATAAACGTCTAGACTGCTATAAGATAACAATAAACATCTAGACTGCTATAAGATAACAATAAACATCTACACTGATATAAGATAACAATAAACATCGACACTGATATAAGATAACAATAAACATCTAGACTGCTATAAGATAATAAACATCTACACTGATATAAGATAACAATAAACATCTAGACTGCTATAAGATAACAATAAACATCTACACTGATATAAGATAACAATAAACATCTACACTGATATAAGATAACAATAAACATCTAGACTGCTATAAGATAACAATAAACATCTACACTGCTATAAGATAACAATAAACATCTACACTGATATAAGATAACAATAAACATCTACACTGATATAAGATAACAATAAACATCTAGACTGCTATAAGATAACAATAAACATCTACACTGATATAAGATAACAATAAACATCTACACTGATATAAGATAACAATAAACATCTAGACTGCTATAAGATAACAATAAACATCTAGACTGCTATAAATAGAGAAATGTAAACTGACAACTGCCTAATTTAATAGGATACCTGAATGTAATCACAGTTATTCTAGCTCCTCACTTAGAAAACTTTTTTTTTTTTTAAACATGACACTTTTTACAGCTCACACTGATCTCATATTATCAAAATAAGTATTTATTCATTACTCTATAATTCTTCTACACAATGGTAATTAATAATCTTTTTTAGTTATCACATGAAACTTCTTTACATTCTGTTCTGCTAAAATAATTTTATTACATATTAAATGCATTAATATATTAATTACTACTATGTTTAAAAAAACAACTTTGTGAATATTTTTTCTTTAGGCATTTAATCATTCAACAATGAAATGTCCCAAAAAGCTTAAATATAACAGTGATGGTCCATGAACAATACCAGGCGTACCTAGATTTTGATTCCCACCACTCAGTGGTGGCGTAAATATGCAGACATATTTGTTTTCTCACTAGAGCTGTAAACCTTTTTTTTTTTTCAGTCAATACTGTGACGAAACGACCTCAGTGTTTTCAGAAGTTAGTATGTGTAATAATTTCTTCTGTTTATAAGAGACAGAGAATAATATTTTCTATGCCCTAAGCCCAAATATTACTAAAACCACATGGGATTGTTAAAATTGTTTCCAGTCCAGACAAAGCAGCCAGGCTTTGTTTAATATTATATAACATTCGGATTACCTAATATAACCAGCTGGTCTACCTGGGAAAGTTCAGACATAGGGGCTGTAGGGTTTGATTGTAGAACTGATGTGTTATATAATTATCTCCTCCCGAGAGAACCTTAGGGGCAGGTTATTGCTCATAAACTAATTATCGTCCCTGAGATTATCTTCCTTGAAATGCAGACCAGACCCTAGTGTCATAAAGGTTACATCACAGGCCCTTCTAACAGATAAGGGGAAATTAACCTGGTCAAGTAGGAAACACTATGGCTTCCCTGACAGTCTTTTCACACCTGTCAGTGATACGGTCTGGGACTAGATGTTTACCACTGAAGAATGTTTGATCAGAGGGATGTCAGTAAGAATTGACTGACAGGCACCTTGATAGCTAATTTGATCTGCAAGGGACTTCAGGGGTGTGGCTTAGATTACCTCCTGTAGGGTAGGTTAGATACTACAAAGGGGAGGAGTTAACTTTGCTAGTATATTGATAGCATTTTAATTTACCTCACAGTGCTGCCAGCAAGCCACAAACTCAGATCAACAGTAGAAAGTAATTCTAGCTGTTTGAGTCCTGTTTGGCAATTGCTGGAATGTTCCCAGCTCCCGTCGGAGTGAAGACCAGTCTGTTTTGATAGCAGAACCAGAGGGTCACGTGCACGAACCTACATTGTGGGAGATCGGCAAGCTGGAAACAGGCGGAGAAGGAGGTGGAACCAGCTGGGAAGAAGCTGGAAGAGCTTGACAGTGCCTCACGGCTGTCAGAGGTTTTATACTAAGTTACATCAACATCCTGTTTGTAAACTTATCATCATCATAACTTCTCTAATCCCAGGTGCTTAGTTTTTTTAGCTGAAGCATCTCATCACTATCATACCATCAGCCAGTCACTGTTTGTGTAAACATAGCAAACTAGTGA